TATGTATAGCTAGCTTTTGTCACATTTAGTAGCTTTGTGCTAAGGTTTGGCTACTTTTGTTTTTATGTAGCATTTTGCTTCTTTTAGCTTTTTAGCTTGCTGTTTGGTACTTGTTGCCTCTAGCTAGCTTTTTGCTACATTTACTTTTTGCTGCATTTAGTTAGTTTTGTGCTAGTGTTTGGCTATCTTTGTTTTAATGTAGCATTTAGCTGTTTTTAGCTTCTCAGCTTGCCTTTTGTTAATTTGAGTTAGCATTTTGCTATCTATAGCTAGCGTTTTGTCACGTTTAGTAGCTTTGTGCTAGGGTTTAGCTACTTTTAGTCTTTATATAGCATTGTGCTATTTTTAGCTTCTAGCTAGGCTTTTAACATTTTATCTTTTAGCTTATTTTGCTGCATTTAGCCACATTTTACTTTGTACAAGTGTTTTTGGTAGTTGAGATACTGTTGTTTTTTTTTTAATCTTGCTTTCTGTTACATGTGGCTCGAAGCTACGTTTCGCTTCTTTTAGCATTTAGCTGTTGTTTTGCTCATTTTCATTTTTAGATTGTGTTCTCCTTTTAGCAACATGGTTTCAGCCTCTTTAGCAAACAGCAGCAGTCATTTAGTCAAATAACTTCTGTAATTTGATCCAAAGGCTGAAAAAAAGGGAAATTTAGACAATTTCTTTCCTTTTAATTTTTAATGTTCTTCAGAACGTTTTAAACTCGTGGCCAGTCCTACTCTAAAACCATGTCAGCCTGTGTTCAATGAAGAACTTGGTTGTGTCTTAAATTGAATAAATCTTCTTATAACTAAACGTAACATTGTCGTTCGTGTGCGTCTGCTTCGTGCTTCAGTGCAACTAATCAGCGCTGACTGGACCGAGCAGACCTGCTGTATTATTTATAGCCTCTTATGTTCATCTAAATGGACATCTAAACATCACGAAACAGGAAGTTACAGTATCACTGAGGAAAAGAAGCTTCTCCTAACATGCTCCATGTTCTAATCTCTGGATCTCATTCTGAAACTCAAGCCACATCTGAACTTTATCTTACAACTGCTCCTGAAGCAGCACAAGTTACGCAGGTTTCATCGTGCTGTTGCCTAAAAAGCGTCACGAGGAGCTTTAAATCCTGCCGTTTTCTTTTGGTGTCGACTTAAAACGGCAAAAATGCACGAACAAACATTCCTGTGCTTATAGAAGTCCATTTTAAAGCTCATTTTCCTAAATGTTCATGGCTTGAAGGGGATGTGAGGCACTTTTTGTCCTCGCAGGTCGTGATCATTGCCTCTCAGAAATATTTAAACATAAAGGTAAGTAAACAAGCGTTGAGTTTTCCCATTCAGGAGCAGAAAAACATGTCGACAGTTTCGTGCCAGGGCAAGTTTTTTTATGAATGGACTTTTTTTTGCTCCTCTTCCCCCCCTCTTTCTTTTTTTTGAATGAAAAGTAACTGGAAAGGCCAGTAAGAAAAAAACAGCAGTCTGCCGGGACCTGATTAGCTGCTTTGATTCAAGCCCCGCCCAGCGTTGCTAAGCGCCAGCCGAGCGGCTCTCTGATTGGTTTAGAGGCGGGGTGGGAGGAGCGAGACTTCATTCAAGAGTAGTGGATTCAACGCGGACAAAGGCGAGAAATCCGAGCTCGTGAGAGGAACGCAGCCAATCAGAGAGCTCGAGCTGGGCGGAGTTGAGCAGTCTCCTTATTTTTTACCAAGAGGAAAACAGTCTGTTCATCTAAATGAGAACTGTTTCTGATAAAAACAAGAAAAGCTCAGTGATTTTTACATATTTTGATCTAAAATTAGTTTTGGTAGTAGCTGACACTGATCCACAACACACACTCTGAACGGGAACGGATTGCGCAATGTCTTTGTTTATAACTTCGGCAACAACTGCAGGAGTCAGTCACACTTGTCTGTTAGCAAAATATCTCATGGACCACTGTATTGATTTTATTGAAACTCTCAGAAAGTAATCACTGGATGTTCATCTACAACTGTTTTACATTTGGAATCAATCGGATACAATGTGGTCGTCACAGACAGCTTCATTTAGGAAACACATAAATGGTTATAACCAAGTCAATTTTTTAAATATTGAGCTAAAATTTGGTGAGATAGAAGCTGAGACTGTTTCCCAACTTGTACTTTCAAGACGAACTAATAGCTCGTTGTTTGTCTTTAAAACTTGGCCATTAACTAGTCAAGTCAACTTGTTTGTCTGTTAGTGAAATATTTAATTAACCACTTGATGGATTTTAATGAAACTCTCAGTATAAAATGACTAGATGTGCGCTCACAATTGTTTTACTTTTGGAGTCATTCGGAAACAATATGGCCGCCACAGCCAGCTTAATTTAGGAAACACGTGAATGATTATAACTAAGTCAATTTTACAAATATTGAGCTAAAATTTGGTGTAGTAGTAGCTAAGACTAGTTCACAAGATATACTTTCAATACTAACTAGTAGCACGTTGCTTGTCTTCAAAACTTTGCCATTAAGTAGACAAGTCAACTTGTGTGTCTGTTAGCAAAATATTTCATTAACCACCGGATGGATTTGAATTAAACTCCCAGTAAGTAATGATCAGATGTGCGACCACAACTGATTAACTTTTGGAGTTATCCGGAGTCAAGACGGCCACAACAGCTTCCCGAGCAAACACAAAACTGGCTAAAACTCGATCACCTCTTCAGACACTGAGCTACAATCTGATGCATAAGCTGTTTTTTTTGTTGTTGTTTTTTTTTAAACGTGCACGCATTCCTTCAAACAACAGCTAAAGTTTGCACCAGATCGTCATTATTCCACGCGGAAATGCGTAAAGTTGAGGCTGCGCAGCCAGAGGTGAGATGTGGCCAGACGCGCAGCCTGCTGGGTAATCACTCGCCATCACTTCCCCTCGGGAGTTTTTTGTGAATGGAGCTCATTATGCATGCAGCCTCATTCACAAACAGCCTCTCCTCTGCAGGCTGCGTGGCTCCACTCAGACCAAATGCCCACGGACGCGTAGCGCACGGATTATACGATGGACGGATATTTGGACCAACAAGTGCCTTACCCTTTAGCAAATGTACGTACAGCTCGATTCCTCCTAGTTTTAACTTGTTCGGGGTGTTTCTTTCTTTTTTTTTTTAGTTCTTTTTGTTTGTTTGTTTGTTTGTTTGTCTGCGCGTCGCGGGTTCTGCACGAGAGAAAAGCTTCACGACCCGCTTCAAACAAAGTGCCGTCCAGCCACGCGCTGCGTTTCTCATCTTTCTCATAAAACTGTCTGTCGGCGCCAAATGGTCGCGTCGCCTCCGCGGGTTCACTCTCTTGTTTTCTGCGACTTCTGCCGCGTCAAACTCAACATTTACCAACAACCAAACACTTTGTTGACATGTTTGTGCTTCGTTTCCGGTTAAATGCGCCCAATTTTGTAGTTTCCGCCCCGTTTTCGTGCACATCTGTAAGTAAAAGTGTAAAAACTGCCACGCAGGAGTGTTTTGCCACTGATGCCCTGCTGCAGTCTGACTCTCAGAACATCTATGGCTTTTGCAGAAGTCGCAAGGAAATGGGCCCCTAAATAGACTGTTGATGGCAGCAAAAAGGAAATTCATGGACACAGAATTACCCCCTCAGGAATCTGAAGGTACTTCTTTAACAGACTGGAGCTTCTTCACACGATGCATCCTTCTCGGTGCAAAACTGAACTAAGCTCTTTCTTTTTTCATGTTTCTGCTCAGATCTCTTCCAGGACTTGAGTCAGCTTCAAGAGACGTGGCTCACAGAAGGTGAGGCTTCTTTTTTTTATCTTTTCAAGGCGCTCGCTGCAAAGTCACAAATCACCCCCCAAAAGTTTGCCCTGAGCGTGAATCCAACGGTGCAGATGTTTCCAGGTGTTTAATCTGAAATGCAGGTACGCGCTCGGTGTAAACGGAACACTTTAAATGGCACACTTTACCAACGAGTGGAAGGCGATGGACTTGTGACCTGTTCAGGGTGTTTTAATAGTTTTAAGCAAAATCTGAAGCTTTTTGTTTTGTAAATATTTGATTTACGAACACGGGAATCAACAATATGAGGAAATAATATTCATATTTTACCTCTTGCTTTGTGAAGTTGCTTTTGCATGATGTTTCGTGATGATGCATTGAGTACCTTTAGCGCTGTTGTTGATGAAGAATAGCCGACTGGTCTTTTGTTGTTTGATTTTTAACGCTTCACCTTTTTATTCTGAAAAGACCAGGATTTAAAAAAAAGAAGCTTTTTCGGATGAAAGCATGAAACCTCTTTAATCTAGAAATATTTTCATTGTCTGCAAAGATGCCGTGTGAAGACTGAACGACAGCTGAAATGTGTTAAAAAAAAGCTGAAACTGAGAAATACGAAATGATCAGAGCAAGAGCTAAAATTAGCTAAAAGCTAAAACGGGCAAAACACAAACTAAAACGAGCAAAATTGTCATACGAAGCTAAAATTGGCAAAACGCAAGCCAAAATCATAAATTAGAATAAACTAGGAGTTAAAATTTGCACAAAAAAGCTAAAAACAACAGAACAGACTATAAAATTAGCTAAATGTCAACTAAAAGCTAAATTAGGCTAAAAGTTGTTGAAAGCTAAAATCATAAACAGATAAAGCTATTGGCAAAACATGAGCTAAAATCATAAATTAGAATAAACTAGAAGTTAAAATTTGCACAAAAAAGCTAAAAACAACAGAACAGACTATAAAATTAGCTAAATGTTAACTAAAAGCTAAATTAGGCTAAAAGTTGTTGAAAGCTAAAATCATAAACAGATAAAGCTATTGGCAAAACACGAGCTAAAATCATAAATTAGAATAAACTAGAAGTTAAAATTTGCACAAAAAAGCTAAAAACAACAGAACAGACTATAAAATGAGCTAAATGTTAACTAAAAGCTAAATTAGGCTAAAAGTTGTTGAAAGCTAAAATCATAAACAGATAAAGCTATTGGCAAAACATGAGCTAAAATCATAAATTAGAATAAACTAGGAGTTAAAATTTGCACAAAAAAGCTAAAACAACAGAACAGACTGTAAAATTAGCTAAATGTCAACTAAAAGCTAAATTAGGCTAAAAGTTGTTGAAAGCTAAAATCATAAACAGATAAAGCTATTGGCAAAACACGAGCTAAAATCATAAATTAGAATAAACTAGGAGTTAAAATTTGCACAAAAAAGCTAAAAACAACAGAACAGACTATAAAATTAGCTAAATGTCAACTAAAAGCTAAATTAGGCTAAAAGTTGTTGAAAGCTAAAATCATAAACAGATAAAGCTATTGGCAAAACACAAGCTAAAATCATAAATTAGAATAAACTAGGAGTTAAAATGTGTACAAAAAAGCTAAAAACAACAGAACAGACTATAAAATTAGCTAAATGTTAACTAAAAGCTAAATTAGGCTAAAAGTTGTTGAAAGCTAAAATCATAAACAGATAAAGCTATTGGCAAAACACGAGCTAAAATCATAAATTAGAATAAACTAGGAGTTAAAATTTGCACAAAAAAGCTAAAAACACCAGAACAGACTATAAAATTAGCTAAATGTTAACTAAAAGCTAAATTAGGCTAAAAGTTGTTGAAAGCTAAAATCATAAACAGATAAAGCTATTGGCAAAACATAAGCTAAAATCATAAATTAGAATAAACTAGGAGTTAAAATTTGCACAAAAAAGCTAAAAACAACAGAACAGACTATAAAATTAGCTAAATGTCAACTAAAAGCTAAATTAGGCTAAAAGTTGTTGAAAGCTAAAATCATAAACAGATAAAGCTATTGGCAAAACAACAGCTAAAATTATAAATTAGAATAAACTAGGAGTTAAAATTTGCACAAAAAAGCTAAAAACAAGAGAACAGACTGTAAAATTAGCTAAACGTTAACTAAAAGCTAAATTAGGCTAAAAGTTGTTGAAAGCTAAAATCATAAACAGATAAAGCTATTGGCAAAACATAAGCTAAAATCATAAATTAGAATAAACTAGGAGTTAAAATTTGCACAAAAAGCTAAAACAACAGAACAGACTGTAAAATTAGCTAAATGTTAACTAAAAGCTAAATTAGGCTAAAAGTTGTTGAAAGCTAAAATCATAAACAGATAAAGCTATTGGCAAAACACGAGCTAAAATCATAAATTAGAATAAACTAGGAGTTAAAATGTGCACAAAAAAGCTAAAAACAAGAGAACAGACTGTAAAATTAGCTAAATGTTAACTAAAAGCTAAATTAGGCTAAAAGTAGTTGAAAGCTAAAATCATAAACAGATAAAGCTATTGGCAAAACACGAGCTAAAATCAACAAAACAGCTGAAAGCTATAATCCAAACAAAAGTAAAAGCGAAACCCAACAGAGCAGTAGCTAAAAAAGCTAAACGATGCCTAAAAGCTGAAAACGAGGCAAGGATGCTGAAGTTTCAGTCTTCTTTTCCAAGTCTAGACATCCTAAAGCGTTTTATACGAAATATGTAAATGCAGTCAAATGATGCAAGAACGTCCTGAATGAGCCGAATGTTTTCATGCCTGAGTGGCTAAAACAGCTGAAGGTATGCAGATGTTAGATGTTAAAAACATATGGACGAGGCTTTAAACAATGAAACGATGGTGCTGACTCGTGAAAATAAATCCAGCTGCCCCCCCCCTTTTTTTTTTTTAAATAAACACGTTTTTTTTGTTGAAGCAAATTCCCAAATCTGACAAAAACAAGGTGTCCTTCCTCGTTATTTTAGCCGAGTCGAGTTGCAGATTTTCTGATGCAACCCACATGCTCACAAACCCACCACTCCCCCCTGCTTTTAAAGAAAGGTGGTGTCAGTGAGCACAAACGGGACGTTATTAGCTTTGAGCCGACCCGACTTGGATCGTGTTGGCACGCCGGGCAGCCGGCACAAACGTGTCGCTCACAAAGTACCGAGCGATGAAACGAGGCCTGCAGCGCCGTGTTTGTACCGTACGGTGGAAGGGACTCGAGCTGTGAGTCACGTTCTGGGGGCGATCTGGACCAAAGAGCCACATGAGGTGTAAATTCTGTTGCTTTGATGTGTGGATTTATAAAACCTGGGGGGCGTTTGTGGACCTTTGAACCACATCAAGCTGATGAGTCCTGCTCTGAAGTGTCCTCCCGGTTTGGTTTTAATTGTTTTAACGTTCCTGTACAGAGAGGACACGTTCTCCGAGCTCCCCTCGACTCTTGACTGAAAACACACCGTTTAGAACAGATGTGGGCAACATGTGGCCCGAGGGCCAAAAGTGGCCCTTGGACGATCTCGAAAAGAAAAATTTTAAACAAGTTGATGAAAACCTGTATTTTATCACGAAACTTAAAAAAAAAAAAGGTCTAAATTAAACATCTTTGACAATTACCGGTACTTTAAGAATCTTTGGATTAAGAAAGGCCAAAAACGTTTTCCTGGTCGTGCTTCCAGAACTAGACTGAACTTAAAGACTCCATGAAGCAAGTACCATAATTTCCGCTGCATAAATCGCAGTTTTTTTTTTTTTTTGGTGCATAAATTAGCATGTTTGTTTTTTTTTCTCCATATTTATAAACCAATTTTTGTCTGAGATCTGACGATTTCATTCATTCTGACATGGAAAATATTGCAAGCAAAGTGTCTCATTAATAGGTAAAAGTGGTTATTAATGAGACACTTTGCTTGCCGTACAAAGCCACCTTCTTCTCCTTCTGGAACTCCTGGAGCAAACGTCACCCAGGCGAAATGCAGCTGATTGGACCATTAAAGTGCATCTTTTAAGTAAAAGTTCAACTGACACACACCTTTGCTATAATTTCAAGCAAACAAATAATTGCTTTTAAGTGTTAATCTTGTTAAATTCTTATTAAAGTCCTCCCATGCATGCTCCCGCGGCCACCACTTGGCAGCTAATCGATTTTTGGCACAACACCCGCCCACATTTCCGGGTCGTCAGCGGTGACGCGTAATAGATGCGACGTATTTGTTTTTCCACTTTATTACACGTATTTGGACTGATGCGACGTGTACGGCGACAAGTATGGTACATGGTGATTTTTTTTAAATTAATATATTTAAACAAACATATTGTCTCGAGCCAGTTTACAAAGAGAATGTTTTATATTCCTAGAGTATTGAGGAGACATATTTTTATCGGTCTTAAAGCAAATCAATTTACTATTTCTCTATGTGGCCCTTCAATTGGTTTAAATACCTTAATTTGGCCCTCTGGTAAAAAAAAAAACCATTGCCCAACCCTAGTTTAGGAGATGTGCAATGAAAATCTGACGCGCTTGCTTGAGGTCATCAGAAGAGATATGATGCTGTTTAAAAGCTGAAAATAACTTTTTAATTTCAAAGTGTCCTCTGGCCCGGTGAAAATGACTCGCAGCTCGATCCAACACAAAGGAACGTGTCCTGACAGAGATAACATCCCAGATACTTCTGAGAATAAACTCAATCCTGAGTTCAAATTAAAGGCGTAGCGTTCCCCGAGGGAACGCTTATCGCCCGCACCACCTGTTCGAGTCAGTCTCGGTTACCACAGCACATTTTAGATCGATACATGGACGGATTTATAGCCACTATTGTGTTTTTCAAAGTCACTCTGGCGGCCATCTTGAATCAGATTGCTAAAGTACGTAAACTTGGAAAGTTCCTGGAGAAACTTTGAAGGGGACTGCCGTTTTAAATGTTTCAGTTGACAGTACTATGTTTGGGTTCGCGCTCAGCTACCATCACACCAAATTTCAGCTCAACACGGCAAAAAAATCTGAGTTAAAGTCATATTTTCT